TCACAACTGAAAAACTTCAGCCCTAGATAAAGGGTATTTCATAGTAAGGTAGCAGTACACTAGCAAAGCAGAAAAGGATTGTTTGCTTCCCTGCACTCACCAAGTGCTTGCACACAAACGCTCTGACTGTGATGGCAAGCACAGTGCACCCCACCAATCTAAAAATGCGGAAAGAGTCAAACTCCTCCGCTGCATTCCCATTCTCTTGGCTTGGCTTCTCATTCATCAGCTGGTTCCTCAGCTTCAGAGCTTCTTCAAATCTGGACAGGTACTGGTCTAATCCGTGTCGAGGTGGCCGTGCTGCAGCTTCAGGTGGCAGTTCCCCTCTGCCACGGTGACGGAGCTCGCTTGTGCCCTCATTGACAAGGTCTGATGTTTTAGTGAACAAGTCCTTCTCCCCTTTGAGGTCTGTCATGCCGGCTGCATGGTCAGCTGTGCCTGCCATGCTACAGACAGTGTCACCAAGCACAATTCGCTTGGAAACGGAAGGAATGGATTTATCTTGCTCATGCTGGAGCTTTGATTCTGTGTGACTTTCATCATCTAGAGAAGAGAAACAAAAACCACAAGAGTTATGCACATCAGGTATGTAGAACAACACTTCAGCCATTCTGGACTCGGGTTGCTGTTCCAAAGTGAAAAGATAGATTTATGATTAATAAATGTGCTAATTATTCAACACAAAGCCATTTGATGAATACATTTTAAAAGCAATGGGCTCGGCTGATACACAGCCTCCTTGTGTATCAAAGGAAAGGTTTACAGTCAAGTTACACACAGATGGTAATGAAAATGGAAGAACACAGCATGGACCAGACCGAAACTGCTCTCAGCACAGCCCTGGCTACACCCTCTCCACCAGCCTACAAAGAACCCTTGTGTAGCACATGCTTCGAATTGCAGGGCACTCTTCTGAAGTGGGGCAGGCACAAGACAGAAGCTCTGCAATGAGGTCGGAAGTTGACACTGTCAGTCAGCAGACATTGGACTTCCTTAAGCAACAACACTGCATGAACAAGAGGAAAGATGTTTCAAATACATGGAGCAACATTAAAAACGACAAAGATTCATGGAAAGTGAACCACACAGAAGCCGCAGTAAAGACTGGCAAATAAGCAGGTGATAGAAGCAGCATACTTTGGCTTGCTCCTCTCTATTATCAGAGGCAAAGCTGTGTTAACCTGTTCTTTATCCAACCTGAAGACCCCATCTTACAGCAAAAGGTGATGCCAGAGAACAAAACCAAACCAGGAGGTGTGCAGCACAGGGCTGGTCCTACCAGAGAGGAACACTTAAAGAGAATTACTCAGTATTAAAGCAGATTGCCTCATGGCTCGTGGGCATCTTTGTGAACTCAAATGTGGGAACCCTTTCCTGACGAGACAGTTGGCCTCCTCGATGTACAGAAATGAAACGACCTCCTAGGAAGCTGCAAGGAAATCCTGCGTGCCAAACACAAGCATCCAATGCCTGGTTATTGCCCAAATCAGAGAAAACTCTGCTATAAAAACGTAACTATGAAAGCAAGCAGTAACCGGATGCAAACACGGGGGAGACTTGAGACAAACTACTTGACAGCTTGTGTGCTCACAACGGCAGAGCAGCCACAGGCCCGAGAGCGTTTCTATACCGGGTCTCCTGAGGACCGCAAATGGTTTTGCTTTGCTTAAAGCACCACTAAACCGGATGATCGCGCTGAGGGCTCGAGCAGCAGCCGCCGGAGGAGATGCGGCAGCAGTAACGGCAGGAGGCGGCCGCAGCCCCGGGAGCCCTCACAGCACCGCCGCCCCGCGGCTCACCCTTGCCCGCGGCGGGCCGGTGGAAGCCCATGATGCGGTTGATCCGTTCCTCCGAGTTCATCAGCAGCTTCTTCCGCCGCAGCTCGGCTCTGCGCTGGGAGGCCGAGAGGCCGGCGGGGGCCCCGAGGGCCGCTCCCGCCCCGCCGTCCTCCTCCATCCCCGGTAGAACAAGGCCGCGGCGTTACCTCAGCGCCGCACAATGGGGCCTCCTCGTATCAGCGCGCATGCGCCACCACGGCCCGGCGCTGAAGCAAGCGCCGCCATGTTGAGTGAGGGCAGCGGCACACAGGAGTGTGCGGGGAGGGCCCGTGGCAAGCCACTCTCTCTGCCCATGCGGTGCCCGCATTGAAGATGGCCGCCGCGGCGTCGGAAGCGGTGCCCGCCACGACGAGGCGGTGAATCAGCGCAGTGAGGAGGCGGGAAGGCAGAGCGGGGGCATGGCCGCGCTGAGGGGAGCCTGAGTAACGGCGGCAGCCGGGCAAGGGCTCCGGCGTGCTGCGGGGAAACAGAGCGGCCGAGGCGGGGAGCCACGGTCCGGAGCTACCGGTGGCCCGCTCCTTCCGTGGTGTCAGTACATCAGGTACCTCCGCCTTGCGTTCGGTGAGGAAAACGCGCTTAACAACGCGATGTAAAACCAGTACAGGGTGGTGACATTCTCCTTATCATACAGAGATGAAAGCAGCGTTCGCTATAGAAGCTTAAAGTATGAAAGCGAACATTTATGTTTCTAACCAAAGTAATATTTACCTCACACCCATAACTAGAGGTTAAATCTGTACAGAAGCAGTAGGGCATCAGAGGTGTTCACAGGGCTCAGTGATACCTGGGAATAAAGGGCTAACATTGTGCCTGCTTAACATTTATCACATTGCTTGCTGAAGCAGTCATTGTGCCTGGCAAAGCAGAACCGTAGGAGTTAAAGTTCCTAGAATGGTGAAGCAGGATTGTAGGAGTTACAGCTGCTAGGCAGAATTATAGTATTATTGTGGAGGGCTCTGACCAACAGATTGCTTTACCTGCCTGCTTGGTAATGACCACAACTGCATCAGTGCCTCTCTGTATTCATCCAGCCCTTCCTGCCCGCTGTTGGCACCCTTGGGCCACTGAGAGTAGTGCACGCACACACACAAACCTTCAAATCACAGGCTCTACATGAGCATGGAAGGCCTTAAATTAATACCTGGGAATAAAGGGTTAACATTGTGCCTGCTTGCTGAAGCAGTCATTGTGCCTGGCAAAGCAGAACCGTAGGAGTCAAAGTTGGTAGAATGGTGAAGCAGAATTGTAGGAGTTACAGCTGCCAGGCAAAATTGTAGTAGATGAGATTCCTAACTTGTGTGAGGAACATTGAAGACATTCTTGTTTAAGCAGTATCCATAGAAAGAAAAGGAACAAAAGATAAGCAGAGTAACAACATTTGCAAAGTTGACAAGTTTCTGCTTTAAGATACATAAAACCGGCTTGTACCGAACCTGAGGTTTGGATGGGAGCCGAAACCCTACTGAGTCTGTGTGAAAGCAAGAAGTGACTCATGGTGATGAAGAGGAACTCCAGGCCTTCATCCTCACGACCCCCTAACGACCACCACCAGGAGGCACTGCGCAAGCGCACCAATGGGACAAATGCCAGCAAACTAATTATAATACTAGACAGGAATAGGTTTTGCATATGTATTAGGCGTGAAGTAATCTCATGTTTAGGTAATCATTACATGTAATATAAACAAACTGAGTGGCAAAGAAAAGGTGCACATGCCTTTGGAGGAGCCATCCCCCATGCGCCTCAGTGCTGAATAAAGCATACCTACTTTACAGCTTTAACGAGTTGTGGAGTCTGTCTGTGTATCATCAGCTCATGGAGCTGTTCGATTTCAGGCACACAATATTTAAACCACAAGCAGAAGCTCCCCACCATGTTGCTCCTCAGGCTGGGGCAGGTTTTCTGCTGGAAAATCATTGGGTGTGCTGTGCAGATGGATTTAGGGAGTTGTCATCTCTGGGCACATTCCAAAGGAGTGGAGAGAGTCTGCTGTTTACTGGAGTGCCAAACAGCTGTTTTTATGTGTACATGAAAGCTATATAGTGTAGGGAAATGCCTTCTAGGGAACTGCTAGGCAGCACTTCCCAAGGGTCAGCTTCCCAAATTGTATTCCCAGCATGGTGTCACTGCACTGCCGTTAATAAACAGCTGGAGGGATTGAATGTACATACTGGGAACAAGGACCTCTCAAGGATTCCAGATTTACCATAACATCATAGAACAGGGAGCGTCTCTGGTTCCTGAGCTGCATCCCCACAGCATGAGCAGGACGAGGGAGAGGATTCTTCCCTTTACTGCACTCTGATGAGAAGTACCTGAAAGCCAGACCAGCTGAAGACAGTGACACGAATGCTTCCCATCAATATGTCAAACTAATTACCTTCAACATCCTTGACACCGAATGACTTGCACTCATTAACTCAGACTGCACCACAAGCACTTCACACAGAAGCAGAACTCAGCTTCAAGATCCTGTTTGGAGTTCCACAGACCAGTGCTGGAATGGCTGCTAGTTCATTGCCGAGTGGTGAATTCAGCAGCAACAGGGCAAATCATTACACTGGGGGAAAAGCTCTGTGCTGACAAGTGCAGTTAATATTTCTACAATACAAAGTGATTAAGAAGGAATATGAGAGGATTCTGTATTCAAAACCTGCTCAATACAGAGGTCGAAGGACCAAGCTCATGCATTAACTTCCATACGGTGAACCAGAAGCAGCAGTGATGACAGCTCATGAAAAAATGGGCAAACGTAAGATGGAATGGCTTTTACAAAAAGGTGTTGAAAGGATAGGATGTTAAATGAAGATACAGGATTACCTATGATAAAATTGATCACTTGGGATCACTGCTGAAGGCTAAATTCCAATCATCAGTGGCAACTGGCTCTTAAGACCAACTCCCAGCCAGATAGTAGGGTACCACATAGTGGGGTACGGCCCCACTCACCTTGCTGGAAGAACGCATCCCAGGTCAGGACGGAGTACCAACACTGACTGACAGAGGTGCTCTGCAGGGACAGATTTTCACCAATTAATCAGTTAATCACCTGAATATTATATGTTTTATCTAAAAAAAAAATTTCTCACTTATGGTACATGGAATTTCACTCAGTCGATCGAATACGTTATTTCTAAGAAAGCACTGGTGGACTTGTATGAGTTCTTTCAATTAATTTTATTGAGTAGCCAAATCTGATAAATTAGCACAGATAAAATAAGCATTTGCATGTGTTACAAATGACTTTTTACAGGAATAAAACAGTGAAAATTACAAACTGTAAAAAGGCGGACAAGTAAATCCTGTCTCAGATTCAGAAGGGGGGAAGATTTATCACTTCATACTGAAGATCATATGTTTGAGTTCAGAAAACAAAGATTTAATATTACAATATTATACACTACTTTACAAAATTAAATTTACTATAAGGATTACATCCATAATAGTAAACAGAACCTTAAAATCACATTTAATGGTCCCTTACTTAACAGCCATTCTGTGTCTTTGATTAAATTCTGTTAAGAAGTTAATGCTAAATAAAAGTGAATCATTCTAGTTATTGCAACACAGTCTATGTGGAGTCAGACTCAAAGAGATTAAATTAAAAACGAGAATGAAAGCAAAGTAAAATGGATGGTAACAATGTTGGCTGAACACTAATGTGTCAAATACAGATAGAATTCAACAAAAAGAGTCTTCAACTGGAAAAATAGAGACCATTTTCAGTGGTCGAGTTGTGGTGCTAAGATCTCAGTACCAGAGTCACTCCTGCCCGTTTTGGCAGTTCATCTTCAGTGTCCTTATTTTCCAGTTGTAGGTAAAAGTGACAAATCATAAGTAGTTTCTGTGTTCATCTGTCCTGTACTGCCCCTACAGCAATAGAGGGCAAACCAGCAGGCTTTCCCACTGATAGGGAATATAGTAACAAAGCTCAACACTGAATTCCTTCCAAAGCAAAGAGGACTCCAAGATTTGATTCTTATCATGTTTTGCTCTGTAAAACTTAGGGACTCTAATTCAAAGCTGTTAATTGCCACAAAGATTGACATCTTTAGCCATTAGTCTGGTGTACATAAAGCAATGAGGCCATCTCCAACATTTATGTCTTGAAAGAGTAAGGGATATAGTAACAAAATACAGTCATAGTAAGAGACACTTTGGGGGGGCTGTTAAGGTACAAGGATGATTTTCAACATCTGAGTGGTAGTATACCCAAAACCACAAATTTAAGTCATCACCTATGCAAGTGCATAGCTTCCATTTATGATTTAAATGAAGAGACCCCTTTCCCCCAGGAAAAAGGTTAAATCAGGGTGTGAAAACTTAAAAACCTCTTCACTATGACTTCAAAACTGTGCAATTCTCTGACAAGCTCTTCAAGTAAATATACTCCTATTTGAAGGGGGGGAGCAGACAGGGAAGCTTCAACTGATTCTCTAATAGTCTTTTCATGCTATTTTAGACATTGTTCTGAAATTCAGCTTCCTGTGCTCAAGCGACAAGAACATCTTCCCTCAAGGAACTCCCCTGAAGTAAGGCAACTCCTGACAACCACGTGCAGCTACAGCATGAAAAGGCAGCAAATGATTACCTACGATGCCCTTGGACATCTGTATCACAAATGTAAGTTAACTAACCTCATCACAGTGCATGTCTGAACACTTACAAGCAGTTTACCTGTGCAAGTTACTTGCCCTAGGAAGTAGGTTTTGCAAGTCCTTTATCACAAACAAAAAAGCAAACCAAGGTTTGTCCATATGAAACACTTCCACAGGCATTGGGATACCGTAACTTCAATATTCTTTATGTTGGTAGCTATCAGTGATAGCTTAATCTCCACCACAGGACAATGATCAATGCACTCTTAAAATGATCTAAGTATTTCCGTATATAAACTTTCACTTCAAGGCCAATGTCACCTTCCCTCTGAAGCTCTGGCAGGGATCTGAGAGTATATTTAAAGCTCTTATTTGGTGAACCCTGGCTTTGGACCTGGGCTCATTACAAACAAAAACGAACAGAAAACTTCAAGTGTGTCTCAAACCACCCACGAATCTGCAATGTAAAATATGTTTGTCTTTGGAAAAAGAATGTCTTTTTGAATTTTAACCTCAGGATATTCAATGCGGTCTCAAAGCATTAGGTTTGAAGTGCTGCCACACAAACTTGCTTCAGAAACACACTAGATTTTAGGGGCTAAACATTCAGTTAATGTAAACAAGAGCCGAAAGTCTACTAAACATAAACCAAAAGGTCTGAGAGAACCTTCCTTGCCCTTCCCCTCCCACCCATTCACAAACTGAAATGCCAACTATTCCTTTCACTGAAGAAAAACGTTTGCCATCTAAGTCTACTTTTGCTGCTATGTCAGCCACTGACATTAAGATGTTCTCATACAGAACCCACTCCTCTCTTTTTTAATTCGAATACTGACTTATTAAAAGCTTTATCAAACTCAGCCATCATGTCCAGGTTAAGCTCACCTTTAGTCCTGTTAGCCACAATCCCTGGATTCTACACTTCACAAGTATTTGTTCATTTCACAATGAACAGTTGTTCATTGCTACTTTAAGTTTGAACACTGAGATGCTCTGTCTGTAATCACTGGATGCACTTAAAACAATTTCCCTGCAAATCATGATCAGTATTGTGAGGTTTTGTATCTAGCAGCAAAAAAAAAAAAAAAGGAACAAGAACAAGAAAAAGGCAAAGAGTTACAGAAATATACATTTTGAACAACAAAGAACTCTTTATTTTACAAAATGTATTTCACCTTTTCAGTATTGCCTTTGTAAATATACTTCATGCTGCAACTACTTACAGTAAAAACATGATTTGCAGCAAATTAAAGGTGCTCAACCAGTTCCAACAGTTTGATTTTCCTTTTTTTTAAGGTATAATATTATGTAGTAGCACATTTGATTCTCAGATGTGGTCCTTTATTTGCTTTAGTTCGTTGAAATCACAGTGAGAACTTCTCATCAACTGCCTCAGGCCACAGATTTAATGAAGATATTACAAGCACAATCGTTCTTTACTGCAAAATCTTTCCTTAAAGAAGTGAGCCAAAGGCTAGCGTTTCATTTATTCACTTGCTGCTGTATATGAAGGAGGAATTCATAGTATGATAAGGCTGATTCTGTTCTGTCTTCAATCATATTTTGCAGAAAACTTGATTTCAATGGACTGTCATCCCTTCAAAATGAAAATATAAGTGTTTGAGTGAAATAAACATTTGCCAAGACCACCAGTGCAATGCATTCATAAAGTTACAGCTCAACTGGCAAAGCTATTTCAAGAGCATAAGGACATATGAAATGACGATCTCAAATAACCCTTCTCATTATTCCTAACAAGTGCACTTATCAGCATTCACTTCATTATCCGACATTAACTCAAGATTGTTCTGTGACATTTAGTCTTTTTTAGTCTGTGGCAATTCTAATTGGAGTCAACTTATAACAAGTCATGTCCGTTGTCCAATCTGTTAGGCACAGCATGCACCACTGCAAACTTCCATCAAGAATGTCCAGTATATGATACTGAAATATATATTAACAGATCCCTAAAGAAGCACAAATACTGTTAAAAAATACTTACTTTATTATATATAGTATAGGGAAGAAAGGTCTCTGTTCTCTCAGCCAAGAAATGAAAGCTGTTATTCTGATGGATTCTGCAGTGTCAAGTTCTGGGAGATGTGTCTAAGAGGCAAAGGGAATCATTAATACATAGAGGACAGTTTTCAGAAGAACAGTGAAAGGACTCTGTCCTCACTGAGTATAAAGGAAACCCAGACACACACAGTTTGTCTAGTTACATCTGAAAGGGCTTGAGACAGTCAAGCACACTAAACTAATATAGCAATATAGTAAATAGCAATTAGCTGTCAGAACAGTGATGACTGAGCTGTGATCAATACCTGTTGCAGAAACCAAAGGATTTCCCACTCACCCACTGTGCTTACTATTGGCAAGTATTCTCAGTCTGCTCCCACAAGTCTGAGAAACTTACTCACTGCCAGCCTCTTCTTACTGCGCTTTCCTGGGAATAGCTATAAAGGTTTAGCCTGGAGAAACTCCAAGAGAGGCAACAAAAATGATTTATTTCCCTGAATCTGGATTTATAGTGAATAATAACTAAAGGGCTAATACCTGAATAGAGGTATTGAAGTTCTCATGAAAATAATACTTTGGTAGCACTGTACCACTGATGTACAGCAAAGCAAGCACATACCATGTTCTGTGGTATCGAGCCATAATTGGGAACTCCAAGGACTTGGCTGATAAAGCTCTGCCCACAGTTCTTCCCAATCCACAGAAACATTACCTGAAAGATAGCCAGCAGTAACATTAATAACATTAATCCAACACGGAACCACAGCTCAGCAGTCTCCTCCACATTATGACTTCTCAGAAAGAACATGTCAAGTAAATGTGGGTACTTTTTAAAATCACCACCACCACCCAACTTACAGAGCCAGCATCCATAAGGTAAGCACCATCCCTGCTCAACTTCTCCACTGACAGCTGGAGAAGGGGTGGCTGAGGTATAGTTCTGTCGTTTATGTTAAGAGCCCCCTGAAGGAAAAGGCAAAAAGGAAAACAGTGGTTCACATCTGAGGCATTGAAACAAGCACAAGAACAGAAGGTTAAATAAGAATAGGATGGGTTACACTGAATACTGAAGCTGGACCCTTTTTCTCAGTTCAAGTCATACTTGGAGTGCATAATTTACTAGTAAATCTCTTCATGTTTTATTCAGAGAGGGTGTACTTCAACTTCAGATAATTAAATTCTAGGACATGAATATCAGATTTGTTGTGTACAAAAGATGTGATTTCTATAATTATTCAGGCTCTTACATTCACTGTTCACAGAGCTACTTTGACATTTTACAAGGAAGGAAGCCACAGAGGGACGAAATGCATGTTATGCTGTCTTTATGTACATGTGATTTATAGTGAAAAGATAATGACACAAGGCAAAAAGTGGAATAATTTAGAAGAAACCTTTCCCATCCATCCATAGCCAGAGCACAGCCTCTCTCCAGAATTCATCACTCCAGTCCCAAATAACAAATAACTCTGGGATCAGACAAACAGACCAGTACTCACCTCATCTGTGAGGTTATCGACTCTGTAGAGGCTGGGATGTGTCATGAGCATGAGGTAAACAAGGGGCTGGTTCTTCACTTGACACATGGTAAAAATGCGTTCATCTAAACGTGTGCTCGTCCCGGTTTGAAATGCTTTCTGCAAACAATCAGGCGTTTCATTTGACCGTTAAAGCAAAGTGAGATAAGCAGAATCTAACACACCCTCTATTGATCATATATAACTTATTTAAGTCATAGAGATGAGCCACGAGTATTTTTTCCTGGTTATGGTATTTTAGGACTGCTATTTTACTTCTCTGTTGTCCTTTCAAGGGTTTCACAGATCATACAAGTCTCCCTATTCCCATTGCTGGCTTCTAGAATTAACCATGACCTTGCACCATCAATCTTTTCCAGGGAGCACTACAGCTGAGATAAAAGCATCTTGAAAGGCATCTCTTCTAACACACACCTCAAAAATGCTACTTGATGGAATTTAGAATAATAAATATTGGAGCACTTTACAATTGGATTCTACATATGGCATCTTTGGTAATTCTGGATTTACAATAAAGATGTAGTCCTACATGTTGGGACAAAAAAACCCCAAACAGCTATAACTGAAACAAGGGCTTGTTCCTCCCTCTTCACTGGGTCAAACACAAAGTCTTCTACATGAAGAAGTTCAAATGTCAGTATGAACACACTGCTTAATTCCTTATCAAGGGGCATGAATAGAAAATTCTCTCTAGATCAGGAAGCCAGCTTGTCCAATGCTTAGAATGACCTCAAATATCAGTTCAGGGAAATCCAATCAAAAACTACTTACATTGAGCAAATATTGTGAAAGGCTTTAAACCTTTGGCAAGAACAGCCAGGCAGCTCTCTCGATACCCACACTGAACTGCCGTGTGGATCTACGTTGCCAGAAATGCACAAGAATTATTACTGAAAACACACTCTACCAGTGCCACATTCTATAGCCCAGTCAGAGCCTTTAAGATTCCTATTCCCTTGTTTAAAACATTTATACCATTGATCTTATGCATACTTCTAAACTCCTGCTTCTCAGCTAGATCACTCTCCATAATGGTAATCTTTAAACATCTCTATCCCCTATTGCCCTTCGCAGGTAAGAGAAGGCCTGTCCGTTACCCTGATGTATTTACTCCATGAAAATCTCCAAATCCCTCCATTTTCATAACATAACAGACTTCAAGGTAAAAACACATGTTCAGCACCTGTAAAATCATAAGTTATCTACCCAGGCCTGAGAAACAATTAAATATGCTTTTTTCTATATTGACCTTTCAAGTCATTAAATTCTGGGGTGCAGAGAAATGGAATTGTTATCTTGAGAAAGGCTGGTTCTATTAAATGATCTAAACCAAGCAACTTTCCAATTTTGAGTCCTAAATACACTGAAAGAGAAGATGCTATTTTGCACATCAAAGAAACATCCCTTTACTTCAGGTTGACATGCCAAACAGTCATCCCCTTGCACAGCTTCTTTTTAGCTCTTACCTGTTTTAAGAGTGCCAGTACATAAAGTGGGAAGAGCCGTAGCGAGGAGGGGGCTGTGAGACCAGGCTGTTGAATGCTCAGGACTGCTGAGCGATAAGCAGATAAAGAGTCTATCACTGCATTGACCAGAGCATCCCGAGCATCGCTCAACGTAGCGGAGACTGACCGGTCCACAGCTAAAAATAGAGTACAGAGCTCACGTAAGAGGCTTTCCTCCCTTGGTAGGAATACAGTCACATGTGTTATTTCTTCTCATTAACATGTACTTCCATGCATCTTAATAAGCTTTTAGTAGACTATCAAGGAAGTCAAGACAAGGGATTCAGAAAAAGCCAGGGATGATGTATCAGACTAAGTTAAGGTGACTACATACATCTATACTGACACCTTACCTAAGCCTAGCATTAAAACCCTCTTAGGTTTGCAACTTAGAAAGCACTCTTGGAAAGAGAGAATCTTTTCTTGTAACGTTACTTCCCAGAGGATTACCGCTCAGAGCTGTAGGGATATCATCCCTACATATCCAAACATGCTTACCCATATTGGCTAACAGCCCCGTGATGGCCTGTACATCTGCCCCTAGGTAGACATCGCTCAGTGTTGTCACAACAGGTAAACACATAGTGTGGACACGAATCCGTCTTTCACCTGTAAGAGAAGAAAACTGTAGTCTCCACACATTGCATTTGTTTTATGAAACAACAGAACAAATGCCAGTGATTACTCAATAGCAACAAGCCCCTAAGATTTAATCTAATTTATCATACAAGTGGTGAATCAGGCCATTTCCAGTAGCTTCTAAAACCAGTTATTTCTCAGTTTCTGGGTTAACTCTACCTATTTTCAGACCAGAAGTTTCCCAAGAAACTTCCTGGTCTGGAAGAAGCAATAACATCACCAACATGCTGGAATACATCACAGCTGTGATCTTGATATTAGATAAAATAGTTGATGTGAGTTACTGCCACTGAATTGCAGCTGATAAACAGACACAAAGGACTCATCTGAGTACTGTACTGCTGATGCAGCTAACACTACCTGTGCATCTTACCTTTGCTGGATGTGTACAGGAGAGCTGACTGAAAGGAAACAACCTGCATATCAGTAAGACTCTCTTCTACTGACATTTGCACAGCATATCCTGCATCTGGGTTCACGTTGGGTAATGACAACAAGTCTGTAGATCGTACAAAGAAGTTCCCATGGAAAGTGTGAATGGAGAGACCTACAACACAAGCATTGTACTGAGTCAGTTTTATGTTCATAGTTGTGAAGTACAGACACCATCTACACAGCTGCCATAGATGGCTCTGTATCAGAATATTAAGATCCTTCCCAATGAAATAAAGTGTCTTCAGGAAAGGTAAATATCCCAGACAAGACAACTAATCCACAGAATCCACAAACCCTAGCAGAAAGCAGGCATTTGGAAGTCAAATCAATGCAGGATAGTAGTAAGTCTCTAGACTATAAAAGAACTCCCTTGTTGAAACAGCAGTCCAACAAAACCTCCAGTTTTAATCACTGTAAAATGGAACTTGGATGCCAGTAAAGATGCTGCAAATACAGTCTTTAATAACTGGTCTGATTCCTGGTACTGAAACACTCCTCAAAACATTCCCAAGTAACAGCAAATGCTCCTTCCCCTCTCTCCCCTCTTCAGTCCAAAAAAAACTCTGTTCAAACCTTTGGTGCATCTTATCCTCATGACAGCCTCAAACCCGATCTTTCTAGTTAGGTATCGCTTCAGTTCCTTTTGCAACTTCTCCACCTGAACAGGGTTGTGTTTATGGTGGTAAGACTGGTAGTAGTAGACACTACCTGCAGAATACCTTGATATACAACCTGAAACAAAACCAACATGCGTTGGCAGAGGGCAGACAGTTGCTGCTGTGGTTTTTAAATATACCAGTTGAATGCAATACTCCCTGTTCACACCCACAAACAGCTTTTACAAAGTTACAGATCTGCTTTCAAAGACAGGTCTGTGTAACACAACTCTATGTATTTAAGGAGTTTCAGGTATGAAATAATCGTCCATTGACCTGAAATTACAGGTACATTGTCACTTGAACATTGGGTTAAACGGAGAAAAGAAAATTCAAATGCTAATGGAAGTTACTCTAAAGATGTTTGCACTGACGGTTCAAAGGCATAAAAGGAGGAAAGTATTTCAGCCACTTATACCAGGATCACAAGAATCCTGACTCACTAAGGGAGAATATGAAAACAGCTAGGTTGAATCAGGAAAGATTGAAGGATTACATTCTATTCACTGTCACTGCTCATCAAGGAGTAATTTGCATCTTATCACATTAGATTAATTCAAATCAGGTTCATGTACTAAATATTAATGTAGATGCTATGTATTTTCGAAAAGTACAAGAGTTACACACCCCAGAATGGCTTAATATGACTTACCTAGAGAAGCCAAGTCTGAATATTGTCCACTAAGAAGAAATAAATCCACTGCAACCTGTTGCCCTGAGCAGTCCAAGGCTAACTTCTTGTAAAAATCAGTCGATGGCGTCAGGTGTATATCCTGTTAATACAAGGGGGTATTACAAAATACAAAGGACATGCAAACAAATTAACACATGTACTGCCTCTTTTCAGGGACACTAACAGTTGATTCTCCATCACTGGTTACAGTGATGGCATTAAAAGAAATCTAATCATTAAGCCATGTTTATAGTGCTTGGCTTTGGTTATTTTTGTTCCTTCCACTTCTTTAACAAAGGAAGCTTAGCACAACAAGAGAGCCACAGCATTAACCCAGAACAGGCAATTCCAGAACCACCTACACATACAGAAGAGGGCAATCATTTCTCAACCTTTTTGCTTCCCTCACCTTTGCTGTTGCTCTTTGGTTTGGCTCTTCTCGTGACTTCAGCGCTCCCATTCCCACAGATGGAAGCTGTGTCTGGAAGACAGAGATTCTACCTCCAGTAGGGGACATCAGTTTAAAGGCAGCCTGTAGTGCAGGCCCCAGGGCACTCTGAGTTTCCAGGGACTTGGTAAACATCTGTGGCAAGGCCTTCAGCAGGTCTTGAATTAGCTACAATTGAGAAGACAAAAGCATTAAGACCAGGAGCCTTTGGAGTTTTCTTTCTTCATAGAGCTGATCGCTGAACATGCAACAACATGTGTTAACACATCTAATATTAAGGTAGTGAAGAAAAAGCCCTAGCAGAAGTCAAGTACTGTCTTGTCTCAGGGTAGCAAAAGTTTACAGTCACACAGATAAAAGACCTCTTTCTTCCACCTCAAACTTTGCATTTAAACTGTGGGTGTTTGAGTGCATTAAGTAACACAGAAATTATCGAGCATATCCCAAACTATGTGAAAGTCACTAAAGTTCTTACCTCTTTATTTTCATTTAAATTCACTAATAAGTTTTCTGGCATTGGGATAAATACATCTGGAAGAGGGGGGAAAAAACAGTGTTTTAGTTACTTTTAAAAACACATCAATCTTCTGCCAATTCTATTTGGCAACCATTACACCTCTTGAAAAAAAGAATACAGTATCAGTGTGTAAACCCATTTAAACATCACTATGGATATTTCTTCTTTTCCCATAGGGAAACTCTAACCCTGTTAGATTAGCAGTCGACAGGGGTGAAGGATAATCAAGATTATTAAGTAAAAATGCACAGCAAAGAACTTTCTAGTGTTCATTCTGCCTTACCTATAACATACAGTGCAAGGTGACTTGAAACTAAAGGCAGAAGAACAAGCACTGAGCATCAGTCAGCACAGAATCTATAGCTATTGACCAAGCATCAGTATTTGGGGGATCACAAGAGAAATCCAGGTAACATTAAAGTGAAGGTTAGAAGTCTGTCTTCATGTTTTAAAGTCAAGAACAGCCACAGCATTCGCACACATCAGGGGCTTCATAGACACACACGAATACATGCTACTTGTAAAACCATTACTGGAAAGACTAATGAGCTGGTCTAGAAGCTTCCACGAGGTATATTTTTTAAGGGCTGTCAAACCCAGCAGCATCAGTAGATACAAATCCCAGGATTTATTTCTGCATACCTTCAATATCTGAAACAATAAGCATCTGAGGCTGAGAGAGACCTTCCTGAAGACTGTAGAAATGGATTGTGCTGTCAAACGTTATGAAGCCTATTTTTGTTCTAGTGTTCCCAGGAAGCCTGAAAATGAGACATATGGTGTTCAGCAAGATGGAATTTCATTTCTGCAGGCTTGCTTTTTTTGAACCATCCACTGCACTTCTCCATGGTTGTTACCAAGTAGTTAGCTTTACAGCTACACTGCAACAGCTTGACTCAGTCAGTTTGGAGCAGAAAAGGAGCTCATAGTAGAGCAGCTTAGCAGACACTCATGAATTTTTTAAGAGGGTCATAGGAAATGGAAGAAAAGGAAGAAACAAGCTGCAAAATGCAAAGCAGCATTTAGATGAGTTCAAACAGCATGTATTTTATCAAAAATATATTAGATGTATGCTTTCCTTTAAGCAGATCCTTACCTAAATTTCAGCTTTTAAAAAATACATTCTAAAGACATCATAAATGTTATATTTATTCCTTTTGGGGATTGGTGAAGCAAGTAAGAAAGAGGCAGATTGAGAAACAAGCCTCAAAATTACCTTTTATACCAGTGCAGCTGTGATGGGAAAAAGACTACAGCTTTACACTACATTTTAATACAGCACTCACCATTGTTAGCCAATTCTAGGAAATTTCTCTTCTAGACAGGCAGTACAGGCACATTGATGCCTGCCACAAGCATCATAAGAGGAACAAAAATAGGAGATTCTAAGATACTTACAAGTCAAGATTGTCTAACAACGTCTGGCAGACTGTATTCAAGTATCCTGTCTCTACTGCATTATGAGAGACATCAAACACAAAGAGGTACACGGGTGGCTGAGGTGGACGCAGCTGAGGAAAGAACAGATTACCTTCAATTTTCAAAATTACATTTATTAGATGGGGTTTATTTATGCCACTGCAAATTTCAACTCTATTGTAACAGCGCACAGATGATAGCTACAACTTCTGAATGCATTTGTGTCTTATTGGGTAATCTAGAAGTACAATTTTCTTCCATAATACCCCAAATACATTCTAAATATAGAAGAACTTTGACATCATAACTGTTTAGAGAAGAACTTCCTGAAGTGCTTCCCAAGAGTTCTCAGATACACTCCTTGAGGCAGGAACTGCTCTACTAAGCTGGAAAGCATCGTCTATTACAAGGCTTTTTTCTGACTTCCCTTTGGAAATAAAAGAGGACAACTAGAAGTAAATAAAGCCTTACCATGTATTCAGATGGAGCCATAAACTCAATTGTAGCATTCTGGACTTCAGGTCTTTTATGAGGTTCTCCATAAACTCTTGTCACAGGATTATACATGAATTCTTCAGGAACTATGCAGACAAGGTTAGATATTATTACTTCACACTAGTATTAGCTGGGCTGCATTTTAAAACAAATACATCAACTCTTCTCTGTGCCTGTTGGCCAATGCTTCTTGGAGAACTATGCTAAGCAGGGCAGCTACTTTGTCACCTGCTAGGGTGGGAAACCACATCAGACTCTGTGCTTCATTAGTGACACCCTGTCTTTGCCCACGGGAAGCATTTCTCATGTCTCACAGCCTCAGCTGACAACAACCCCTCATACTCATGGCCAACAATAGTACAGTCTCAAAGGCCAAGGTGGGCAAGGCTCACCTTAAGCATTCAAAGCAACAAGCACATTTAATACCTACCATCATTCACTCTATAGCACAGATTGCATTTCCATCTCCTTTGGTCTAGAAAGCTGACAAAAGGGTTAATGTATGTCCGACAGGAGCGGCATCTCACAATAGTACTTGAAGTGACCACTGGCAATTGCTGGAAAAGAAAAGCTTCCTGTTTTAAGACACTACCACACTGCATCTATTCATCTATGATTACATTATCTATACTGTGCTTCTTGCTTAGCTAGTCAAAGCAGACATGTTGAAGAAAAGGATTTCTGCAACCTCACAGCATCCTCACAACTCCTCAATAAACAGGTTGAAACTGAGCTCTAACCTACTCAAGTGAGCAGGTTCTCTTTTCAAACCTCTCAGGTCTTGAGTTTTGCACTGGTGGCTTAAGACCAAGTCCTATGCCCAATAAAGACCAAAAAATCAGAAAAAATATGCCACATAATTGAAAAACTATTCAAATTGTGAAAAATAACAATGCTTAAAAGAGGCACTGCTAAATTCAGAGTCTCCTGGCTATCTGAGGACATCCAAACCCTTTTCACTCTGTTAACTCTTAATTAGGTTTAGAATTAGGACTAGGTTTGGTATGGGAAATCAATAACTACAACTGCTATGTGACAAGATAAAGCTATTTAAGCAATTAAATGTGCGGCCTTGTGTCACAGTCCCAGTGCTGTGCTGCCTCTAAGCTGCTGGGATTTTTGATTAAGTGAGGCTTCAAAGTTTAAAACTGGTAGGGAGATAAATCCAGGAACATGACAATGATCTGCCTGGTGCAGGGAAATGTCCGTTACCAAGGGAATTTTTCTGGGCCACACTTGCTCTTCTTTTATAATTCACTGTCCAGCTCTGGACTCAAGGGAAGGCACAGTTGAGATTTCAGCATTTAAAGGTTGGAATATTTGTCATACCGATAAGTCTTTGAAAGGATGAAGCAGGAGCCCCAAAGGAAGTTTGGCTTTATTCAGTAAGGCCTGAGTTTGAGGAATGTTAGTCAGGGTACAGCGGAACAACCTACATGGAGGACAAAGGGTTATTTTTAGAGGCTTTCAGATAATAAAAATGATGATTTCAGTAGTACAGAGCATCCTTTATATTTTTCTATATAAATGGTGATGGTGAATTTCCATCTTCTCCAGCTCTGTCAAATTGTTCTGGTTTAGTCTTAGCTTGACCCACAGTACGTACTTTGAGTACTTACTTTATACACAGACTCTAAACAGAACTGTCAGTCACTCAAGTCAAAGGTAAGCCTAAGAATGTTCAAAGTTACACCAAACCCTTATATACGGTGTTATTTTGGGATACCGTTCTAAGGTGGCCTTACACACAAATCTGAACCAGCAAAGTTGAAAAGGTTGCCTTAAAACTTAGCAACTATAAGCAGAGACTTCAGAACTCAGTCATTTCCACAAGTGCAGATGTGCACAGCACCTTTGCAACTCCTGTTCAGCTTGTTTGTATGAGCAACTTCACAAAGATGCTGTTATTTCCTTTATCAATCATAAAAGGCCTTGCAAAGCAGGAATACCAGGTTATACGCAGCTTGGCTGGTCTCCTCAGAGAGATTACTTGAATAAACAACTGGCAGTGGCTTGTTTGACATTCCATTTACTCCATTGTTTAAAAGGCTACTATTAATACAGAGGTTTCTGGATTGTCAATCTGTGGTATGCCTCACTCAAATGAGTTAACTTCTATTACATCTTTTTTGAGTCATGCTTATTGCCAGCCATATTGTAAAGTTTTTTTTTTAATGTACCTATCTATCACTGCCCTGCAAAAAACATATCTTAACTCATACCTTCTACACACAATTTTCTGTCAGTTTAAACCATTTACCACCTTTATCTTAACACAGTGAAGCCCATTTTCAATGTTTTCTACTCAAAGACATGTTTACAAGTAGGAATTTATAGCAAATGGATAATCTTACTCAGGATTACAGTTGAGCTTCTGGATGTCCTCATGCAAGTTTGGGACTGGAGCCTTCAAGAGGGTTGTTGGAAGAATATTTCTTTCTTGAAGAAGATTCACAGGTCTTAATCCTTCTTGCTGTAGACTCAGGGCACCCATAGATGCACTTAGGTGATTAGTGCCCAGGGCAGGCTAGAGCCAAAGAGAATTTCCAAAATTAACACCAATCCTTTAAATAATGGAATGGTTTGTGCTGGGACCTTAAAGCTCCTCCAGCTCTAACCCCTGCCATAGGCAGGGACACCTTCCACTAGAGCAGCTTGCTCCAAGCCTTGTCCAACCTGGCCTTGAACACTGCCAGGGATGGGGCAGCCACAGCTTCTCTGGGCACCCTGTGCCAGAGCCTCAGCACCCTCACAGGGAAGAGCTTCTGCCTAAGAGCTCATCTCCATCTCCCCTCTGGCAGGTTAAAGCCATTCCCCTTGGCTTGTCCCTAAAGGCCTTTCTAAAAAGTCCCTCTCCAGACTTTCTGTCAGCCCCTTTAGGCATTGGAAAACTGTTGTAAGGTCTCTTCTCCAGGCTGAACAATCCCAATGAATAAAGCCCCCAATTAACTTAAATAACAGAGGTATTTCCCATCCTTATTTTTTTCTCTTTTGTTTACATATTAACTGCCATTATATTACAACAATATAGAATCATAGAATAGTTAGGGTTGGAAAGGACCTTAAGATCATCAAGTTCCAGCCCCCCTGCCATGGGCAGGGACACCTCACGCTAAACTGTATCAGCCAAGGCCTCGTCCAACCTGGTCTTGAATAGTTTGTTACATAAACTTGGACTTAAGTATGTAACACTGTAGAGGTAAACGTCAACACACAGTTGCTACAAGCTCTGGAACTTCAGAGGCTCAGCTGGCAGAAGTGCTGGTAAGTTCACCTCGAAAGCTCAGTAAAAACCCAAATCCTTCAGCTAACTCTGGCAACCCAGGGGAAGAAAACCATGCCAAAAGCAGCTGAGTATTTTTAAGAGAAGCACTCTGAACAGATTCAAGGATAGAACACTTCCTAAGGAGCTGGCACACAGCTTTTCCAAACTGGTGCCAAGGCATCAGCAAAAGCATTTCTTTCAGGCTGCGTCTGTCACCTTGAACAACCAGCACCCCACACAGTGAACCATCAAAGCAGCACCCCACAGATGCACAACACACATCAACTGCCACCTTTTCTTTACAGGACAGGTAGTACCAAGATGAAAACCAGACAACCTTTACCTGGTGGAAATGTTTTGATCCATCTGGATATTGCAAAGCAGATGCTTGCATTCCTGGTGCTCCGGGTGCAGAAGTATTTTGGTAGCCTGGAGGTAAGGCAGGGTAAGAATACCCAACACTTCTGTTCATCTTAACATTTGGGGGTGCAGGAGAAGGATGTGGAGTTGCTAGAGGCAGAGGAGACAAATACCTAAAATTAACTGCTGAAGAACCACAGCTTGCTCAGTGCATTAATACAGCAGAAAGGCTTTTTGGTGGTGGTTAGTTTCTAAGCATAAACATTACCACTGCTGTCAGTTCTGCAAAGTGCTCTTCACTGCTTTACCATACTTACAGGAGAAGATGTGGTACTTGTCAAGGCTTGACATTTCATACTTAGTTTCATGACAGACATGGAACCAAGTGTATGGGTTTGTACATGAATGCCTAAACTTCTATCTTTCCCTGCCTCTTCAAAGTTACGTAGTAGTAAATACTTCCACTCCCAAAGCCTTACCTGTGAGGCCACCACCTTCTAGTGCATCGTAGCTGTTCTGCACTGCAGCCCCATCACTGGCAGCAGATGTAGCATCACCTATTAAAGACAATCCCAGTAAAAACTTTCACCAACTACTAATTGTAATGAGGTAACTGCAAAGAAATCCTACTTGCTGGATGAATATTAAGATTAGCATTAGTTTGGATCTACTTTGCTTCTGCCACAGGATGAAACGGAGTTAAATGTACATATTGGCCTCTTCCCCTGGTGACATGACCATGACAGAGGACATTCATAAAACACCACAATCTTTTTTTAAGGAGAGCAAAAGTCCCTACACCTCTGGTTGAATGACCTTTTACGTTAGGTATTCACCACAACCTCCAAGCTGATACACTTGCTTGGGGACAGGGGACACTTCCTCCTCATCAGAGGAAGCATCTGTAGGCTTGCTGCAGTTTTCAAAGTACCCTGGAATTCAGGTGCCAAGCTCCCTTAAGAACTTTTCCCACTGATAACTCTCAGGAACACTAAATTCCCTTTGCTTACACACTTAGTCCAGTATTGCTCACACCAAACACCAACAGTTCTGATACAATCACATACCAGTCAAGATACAAACCCCAGCAGAGATAAGAAAAACCTTGAAATTGAGGGAATGCTCCCAAAGGATCGTTATTTGTAAGGTAACTATGTCTAAATATATAAAACCAACTACCTATTGCTAAGGAGAAGTAGGAACTCAAGTTTATCATCATTAAAATCTTTAAAGATGACCCAATGAAAGGAACTAACATTATACACTGAATCTTGCTGGTATGCACCAGTAAACCTACTACACAGACTAAACATTGCTGTCTCTCCAGGGCCTTGGAAACGTTTCTCTTCATTATGAAGAAAAGCCTTTCTAACCCAAGCAGTTTCTAGCACACTTCGTATGTTGAAAACGAAGCTAAATCTGAATATACTATTCTTGTCTTCACACAGCTATCACATAGATGAAAGTGTCAATCTGAACATGCAAGGAACCAACAGCTTTGACAGAACCAACTATGCATGTAAAAACAAAACTGCCGACTACCACATGGCCCATCCTAGGGCACTAAATGTAATACAATTGCAGGTCTGTTTGATACAGAGTTCTTATGTGATGGTGTATTTGTGAAGGGTCTACAGGAGACAGTCAGATATTCTATGTTTCTATATGGGCCTTCAACAGATGACACTTAAAAGCCTCTAGTAACTACCTTCCAAAAATGAACAAATCCAAGATACATGTTTCAGTGATTTTACACACAAGGGAAGAATCAGGCACAACTACAAGGAATTGCAGGATCCATATTTTATCTCTCCTTGAAGAATAAAACGATACAGGAAGCTATAGACAGCTAAAATTACACTGGATTAGTATCAGTTTTACCATTTGAGTCTCTAACAGAACAGTGTGGTTGACTTTAGAGGTTGCACATTAGAGCAAGTTGAAATGTGCAAATTCAAACAGACCATGTTATTTCTTACCTTCTTGACTTGCAGTTGAGTTTAGCAGGGACTGTGTATTAGGTGGTCCAGCTGTCAAGGTTGAAGGCCTAATTAAAGGTGGACCACCAACTGGTGGAGGCCCTAAGGGTGGCCTTGCAGGAGGGTGGAGCGGAGTTAAAGGCTGAGTCACTGGTGGAGGAGCAGATCCTGTAAAGAGATTCAGTTTTAGGAAGAGTTTAACCCAGATGAGGAAGTCACAGAAGCTTTGTTACCAAAATGCAGACTGAACTCTATGCTTCTTATTCATATGATAAACAGCATGAGATACATAAATCCTGATATGGTTGTAGAAGGTTTCACGACTGCAGGTTGTTTCTGTCGCACTTTTCTCATACTGGGTTCCTGTAGCTATTATCCATGACTCTTTCACATTTTTGTTGCTATTAAGAACTTCAGCAGTAGAAGGAGAATCTCAATTCAATTACTAAGGCTAGACTTTATAAAGTTACCATATAGCCCCATATGAATGAACTAATAAGGGTCTAAACATTCCTTTTGACAGGATGCTCATCTTCCACTTCAATAATCTGATGCAAAACAGCAATGTCCACATTCTACAGCTACTAAAATTACTTGGGGAAACGATTTCTCTTGGGAAAGCATCAGCAATTTCCAGTTTGAATGAACTTGCTGTGTGAGTGTGAGGTATTTTGCTCTGGAATGTTTAACCCTCTGTGTTAAGAGTCACAGGGAAGTTTTTAATTGCTTCTATTTTAAAATCCTAGGACTTTCTCCAGCCAAGACATTTAGAAACCCAATTGCTTTTCTCCCCTTCAAACAATACCAAATCCTAAGAGCACTTCCACCCCTTTGTTCCCTATTATTCCAGAGGCCAGTATAACTGCCCTTTAACTCTAGGAAGGCACCAATGTGTTTTAATATAAAAGGTAGCCTTTCAAAAGATAAGGCCAAATTGTCCAGTGTTACCAGGTCTCAACGTGGTACAGAAGCCTGTAAGTTCAACAGGATCAAAAAGCCACCACACAAAATATGCAGCTTCATGAGCCTGCACAGTACAGGGGATTTAAGGGAGAAGAATGAAAGGAAAAGGGGGAAAAATCATATCCAGTGGAGTTATCTGCTTGTTCAGTTGTATTTGATACTCCAAAGTTAATTAATAATGGCTACATGCAGGCAACACTATCACAGAGCTTGGAAGAGATTCTGTGTGTAAGAGGCTGTCCGTAGTTGGCCATGCAGGCAGGGAGCTGGCAGACCTTTGTTCTGAGAATGGGTGTGATCACTAAACAAGCTAAACTCCTTTCAAAAGTTATCATTGCTCTACAAAACCTACCAGGAGAATTGCTCAGGAGGATTCCCCATCAAAAGGATACAGGAATTCTCTCATTCCAAACACTTGCTCTCATTTCATATGCCGCTTCCCAAAACGTCTCAGCATTTTCCTCGCTAACTGCAAAGTAACTAATTGTTTGTGCCAATAAACTGCCAGCATAAGTTCCATAAACTCTGTGAGCTTAAGACAGTTTGAACATCATAACAAAATGAGTCAGGCATGGAACACAAAGCTAGCATCAAGGAAAAGCTCTGGTGAGGCTAAAATATGAGAGAAAACATTTGCTTGAACATTTACAGTATTTCTGTATCTATCTCCTATTTGCAGGCTCGGTCAGAAATCCTCTAGAACAACAAACAGCAGTTTAGCAAAGAGAAACCTGAGTATCCACTTTGTTTCCATAATCATCACAAATTGCATAATGGAGCTGGCTAGCGTTAGCAAAGCTTCTCACCACTGCACACAGCAGCACATGAGCAGCAGGAAGGGAAGTCTGACGCTTTCAGAGGGCTTTCTAAACACTGACCATTATTAGTTACAAGTTTGGAGGAAGGAAGCTTCCCATTGAACTGGGCTCTACTTCAATGGCACAGAACTGCTCTGCAGTTTGCTTTCCAGGCTGTGCTCAGACTGTTTGCATCAACCCGACTGAGGTTGTTCACTGAACTACCTCAACCAAGTGAGTAACACAAAGGCTAACAAGTTTTAAGGTGCAAAAGATGACACTCACTGAAGAGGACCACAGTTTTCAACCAGGAAGTCCTCAAGTCCCTGCTCAACTGAAGCATGTAACCCAAGGAACAGTGAAGGTCACACAAACAGCATTACCCACACACAGCTTCCCAAAACCATAAGAGCATTCAGGAGTTACCTGCTGCAGCCAACTGAAATGCCTGACCAGTACACAGAACTTCCATTTCTAATCCAAAGAAACCACCCCTGTATTTGTGCTGTCCTTTTGCTCAAAATGCTCTGTTTTACAACTTCATTGCACAGGCAAAACACTGCTGTGGAATCAATTCTTTTAAAAGGACACTGAGAAAGGGACATTGGTCAAATATCAGAAGGTTATGGTTACCTGGCTTCATGTAGCTGTTCTGAAGCGGGGGACCTCCTGGAGAAGCAGCATATTGATAACTTCCTGGAGGATTTGTATTTCCTGATAACGATGACAGTGGCTGGGGTGACCCTGTCCCCGTCACATGTGCCAAATGGCTTGTTTGAGACCCAAGGGGCTGGCTTGTGGGAGCCTGGCTGTACTGCCAGTTTGAAAGCACTAGTGGGGTAGCTCCAGGAGGAAAGCTACCAGCAGATGATATAGCAGCTGAGTTTTGCAATGGAGGCAGCAGCACTTGTGGAGCAGGACCTGTCTGTTGTACTGGGGACCCAGAAAAAGGTGCCAGTGGGGGTCTGTTGAGAGTCTGCCCAGGTCCTTGGTAACTGTTTAATTGAGAAACATTCTGAGAGCCACTATAGTTATACTGTCCCAAAGATGGATGTGGAGGAACCTTGGCCGGAGTCTGATGGGAATACGATCCTGGAACTGAAGGGCTGTATCCTTGGCCATCCGGTGAATGCATCAGCTGATTCTGAACAGGACCTGGAAGAGAAAAAACTACAAACCCTTTAGAAAGTCAGTGTTGGGTATTGCTTCTGAAAAGAAGACTTGTTCCTGGGAATCTCTTTCCTGGGGATTTTAGTCTCCAAGCCATTTTTATGTTGGATTCTTAACAACCAGGTGTGACACTGCTTCAGGGGACATGAATGTGGTAGTATTTTGCTATCAACACTTACATCAGTGTTTTGCTTTACAGTAGCCTCACAACCACTCAGCATTCCAGTGCCTGAGCACAATCCATCCTCCTGGACTAAAAATCACACATGGCACTATTTCTATCCTCAGGAACACCCAAACCAAGCCTACCAAAGAGGAGAGCTCTCCCACACAGCTGGCAGCAGAACAGGCGAGCAGACTGAAAGCAGAAGCATCCATTGCCTCATGACTCTGTTTCACTTGACGACTGACACTAACTTCAACTTCAGCTTACCACAAAGACACAAAGAGGCACTTTCAGCATAGGTCACCTCGGTGCATCTCAAGTGACAGTTAATCTATGGAAGTCTCTGCAGTTAATTTTAGTAAGAGAACTATTCATACACATACCACTCGTGAGCAGCCAGCTAGTCATGAAGATGGAATGAAGGGTAGTTTCATCATAAAATAATTCACCAATAAGGAAGATAAAACCAGATGGGTTAATGGTGCTTTATGTATTTGTGGGTTGGTAGAGTTGTACTAAGTTTTACTCACTGAAGCAAACAAAACATTGAAAAAAAGTTAGTAACTGTCCAAAGAGGAAACAAGAGCATTATCAGATTCCTGCTTCACACAGAAACAGAATATTGTGAGATTTCCAGCATGACAAGAGCTCCATCAAGAAAATCACTACTACAGTTGTTTCTAACATTGCCACAAACTATACAGTTTCAAGTGAAATCCTTCTAAGCAGAATACACCAGATAACACATGCCGGAGCCAGCCATGACTCGTCAAAAAGTACTAAACCACTTTCCAGTGTGGCAGTCGTATCATGGTCCTGCTCACCCCCGAAACACACAGCTGAATACCAGAGACATCACACATACACAGCTAAACATCTGACAGCAGAGATCCTCTTCCTGGTTTAGAGATACAATTCTTTTCTTTGCAACTCTGTACTATTTTCCATGTTGCCAAGAGAATCTGTGGCTGCCCCATCCCTGGCATTGTTCAAGACCAGGTTGGACACAGGGGCTTGGAGCAACCTGCTCTAGTGGAAGGTGTCCCTGACTGTGGCAGGGGGTTGGAACTGAAGAAGCTTTAAGGTCCCTTCCAACTCAAACCACTCTATGATCCCATGATATATATTTATCTTAGATACATATTTACTATACAAGTACTGGGAACAGCTGCCACCAGAGTGAACTCACAGAATTTCATTTAACATTAAAACAAAGACAACTGGTTTCTCATTCAACATTCTAGTTACATTTCAGCAGGTGTGGAAGCTCCCATTTCCAAAGTAAAATAACTTTGAACTTCAGCATTTCTGACAATAACTAAAACGAAACACAACATACATCAGAATACTTCACTAGGACAAACAGTGCACCGGCCATTCAGCTCCTCATTTCCTAGAAAGCCTTAGGCTGTGGGTCACAAACAGCTGTTACTGCACTGAATATCACCAGCATCCACACTCACTACATTGCCAAAGCAGTAGTACAGTGATCTCACCCTCACTGCCTCTGTTATTTATGTGTAAGAAGTCCACACCATATTATTCTCCACCCATTAATCTCAATATGCCACTTACCGTTCACAGTTAGGTGACCCAGTTATACCCAATTGTCCTTACAATGTTGCTCATAAATCTTAGTAATTAATAATTCCCTAAGATCAATGGTGTCTAAACAAAAAGCCTGCAGTCAAAAACACTAACAATTGATCCACCTTCCAAAACTACCCTGCATTGTACCAGATGGGTTTGCAACGATCGATTTACAATGCCCATTGTAAATGAAACTTGCTAACTCTAAGAATGAAGAATTCCTACGCGATGCCATGCCTCCTGTCTGCAGCAGCATGTACGTTGATATAATATTATTATAAGCTGTAAGAAAAATACAAAACAAATGCAAATTAACTTCATAACTTGATTGTCCACCTTCAAGCATGACTCTCTAGACCAGGCAGGAATCAGTGCACTTGCACTGATGTCTTACACACTGTTTTCCCTGCTTAAGAAATAAGCTTGAGAATAAAGCAAGTGAGGTGAAATCCAAAACTGACTTGGTATTTTCTATGTTTTCAATAAAATATCAAATCCACCACAGCACAATGTTCCAAATTTCAATTTTTAATGTCAGAAGCTCAACAAAAAAGCCTTGATAGCCTGCATGTGGTTCATGTTTCCAAAACAATCCTGCATAAAGCTGCCAACAAAACTAAAGCAGCAGCACTGAGAGGCACAAACCCTCTCCAAGGGGCTTCACAGTGTACCTAATCCCAGGATTTGCTATTTTGCTGCTGGCAGGTACCCATCTTGCCCTGACCTCTTCAGCCAGAGAACATCCAGGCCCTTCAGCTTTCCCCAGGTGCTGATGCTGGTTTTCTGTGCTGTTCTGTGAAGCCAAAACCCAACCAGGAATTCAGTGTTCACTGAAGAGCTGGATACCTGCATGGCAGCAAAACAACTGACACTTGGAGACCACAGATGATTTAGTAATAGAAGAAAGGCCACCTACATAACAGCAGAAGATGCCTCCACAGGAACACAAGGCCATTTCATGTTTCTAAAAGATCAGGAATGGCACCAGAATGCGTTTGAAGGTTGCCTGGTGGGTTTATAAAATGAGGAGTCAAACTATTAGCACAGGAGGCTGGGATTCAAGTCGTTTCCTGCCACACAATTTCACTGTCACCTCCTCCAAGCCAGTTCTTTAGTATCTCACTTTCACCAGCCACAACCTCTCCAGCCTCCAGGGAGATGCAAGGATAAACAGATGGAAAAGCTCCATCCCAACTGAACAGCCATGGGATGTGCCAGTGCCAGCACCCACTTTATCTGACCCTGACCCACTGCTTTCCAACCCAACAGCTGACCTTGAAGTGCCATCAAGTAAGGAGAGGAAAAGAGTCCTAAAAGAACTGCTTCTCCTTCTTGTTTGCACTTCAGGTCTATTAACTGGAGAGCAAATTAGTAACCTTCAGTTAAACAAATACGGAATGCTGGTCCTATTAAAAGAAAACCACGGATGAAATAGAGGAAGGCTGCTGCTAAGCAACCCAATGCTCCATGCTAAACAATTTCCCAGTCAGCACACAGTGCTGCTGTGACAATTTACTGCCTGCACAGACACGCGAGCTCGGGGAGGCACCTGCAAGCAGTAAAGCGAGCAGCAAGTGGAGAGGAAGAGCTGACAGCTGTAAACCAATTCATCATCCTGCTGACAGCTCGCTGTGAGTACCCCCACAGCACTCTCGGTACCCTCCAGACTGTTACAAAAAGCCTTGTTTTTACTGTAAAGGTCAAGGATGGCAGCACCTCCTCAACGTGTATTTTAAACGCTGCCAAGAACAGTCCATGCTTGAATACTCTTATTTATTCAAACGCCAGCAACCCAAATCTTCTAACGCACCATAACAACAGTTTAAATTTATTACCTTGCATTTGCCTAACTCTGAATTTCAGTTCTTTATTTTTCATACACCTGACAGCCGGGCAGCCTGAAATTCCTCCTCCTCCAACTGCCTCTCCAGAACTTCCATTACGTGCTTAATCAGACTACAGGGGAATCAGCAAACATAAAGCAATGCCAGTCAGTAAATCATCCCACTTCGCTACTCCATTAGCTAACGTCCTCTTTGTACACTCTCCACGTAGACCAGAAGCTGTCCAGAAAAGAGGCTCTCTCCAGCCTGTGCTCATACACTTCCCACTTTCCCGACCCTATATACAACAACACAACTCTTTGTGGAATGTCATTCTGCAGATGACTTTGATGAAAATAAGCTGCAAAGGAGGAGGGGGAAGACAAGTCAAACCATTTAATTACTCATGCACATAGCAGAAAAATCAGAAGATCTCATTAGAACTGAACTGCTTATGATGCAGCCCAGCTACTCAAATGCAGACGTGTGTAATTAAGGAGCCAAGGACGGAGGATGCTGGCTGGGTATGGGAAATCAGGAAACACTTCCAACAGCACTGATTTCCACACAGGCAAAGAAAACAAATACAGAGACAAGGCTTGTCTTGTGCTTCTTTCCTCCTGGCTGAAAAGGCTGGTGTCACCTTCAAAAGACGTATTTTGATGGGAAGAAACTTCAATATCTCACTTTAAAAATCATCATAGAACTCCAGGTTGGAAGGGACCTCAGGGAGCATCTGGTCCAACCAAAATCCGACCTAGACTGGATGTCCCAGCACCCTGTCCAGCCGAATCTCAACAGTGTCCAACAGTGGAGAATCCACTGCTTTCTTGGTTAGATTATTCCAATGGCTGGGTATTCCCATTGGGAAAATTTTTCCTGTAGTGTCCAACTGGAATCCCCCCAGAAGTAACTTGTGCCCATCGCCCCTCATCTTTCCGTTGCAGAGACACATTTGGAGGGTAAGAAAGCGGTCAGGATTTCCCTGGATCGCAGCTCACTCAGGGCACAGGGCGGTATCAGTTTTACACCCCTGACAAGGCAAATCTCGGCTGCGCCGCAGCCGGAGCCCCCCCGCCGGTGATAACCACAGTGCCACATGTACAGCTCCGTTCCAAAGGGCCCGAGGCTGCGGCCCCGGCTGTGTCACGGCCTCCAGGAGCGCCCGGTGCGGCCCGCGAACGTCTCGCCTCGCCTCGGCTCTCCACAAGGAGCCTCTGCCGGGTCACACGCGGAAACAGACCCGGGGTGGGGGGGTGCCTCCGTCCCGACAACCGACCGGGACGGGGTTCGCTCTGCCCGGCAGAGGCTTTACCTTATCCTTAGTGCCCGCTTGGGCAGGACGCGCTCCAGCCACCACTGCACCGCAGCCCCTCGCACCCCCACCGGGCCGGGCGAGCTCCCGCGGTGGAGCGGGGCGGGGGGGGGAGAACCGAGGAGCCGGACCCGACCCACCCCGCTCCCGTCCCCCGCGGGGCAGGAACCACCCCCCGACCAGGCCTCCTCTCCCCACCGCCGGGCCCTGCGGCCCTGCACCGGCTCCGCGCTCACCGTTGCTGTAGGGCTGCTGGCCAGCGCCGTTGTGGCTGGGGTAGCCAGCGGGGGGCCTGGCGGGCTGGGCCATGGCGGCGGGCTCGGCTCGGCTCGGCTGTGCCCGTGTGGCGGCGCCCGGCCCGGCTCAAAGGAGGAGGAACGGGACGGGCCGGCCCCGCACCGGAACTACCGGGCGGCGCGCGCAGGCGCACCGCGTACACGTGGCACTTCCGGGAACGGCGCGCTGCGGCAGTGGGCGGGGCCTGGCGCCTTAAAGGGGCAGGGACAGCGGTAGGGAGAGGCCACGGGTGGGCCTGGGGGAGGGAGAGAGGAGGCACCGGGCCCGGCGGAGCTGGGGCGCTGCACCGGGACCGAGCCCGGCCGCCGCGGTGTGTGTGAGTGCGGCCCGGCCCGGAAGGAGCTGCCGGGGAAGGGGGCGGAGCGGGGCGCAGCCGCGGGGTTGTGCGTCGGTGCCGGCGGAGCGGAGCGCCCGCAGCTCAGGCTCGGTGGCGGCGGTGAGCCGGGGGGGGGGGAGCGGCATCCTGTCAGGGCGGCCCGCGGTGGTTGAGCCCGGAGAAGGGGCCTTGGGCTGGGTTCCCCCTTTTTGCTCGCCCCAGGAGAGCTGGGGCTGGGGGCACCGGGCCATGAACCCGCCGCGGGGGGCGGGCAGCTCCGCGTAGCGCTGGTTCTATCTCCCTTGGGGCCTGCGGTGCTGGGGGTGCGATGTCCTGTGGCCTCCAGGTGCTCTTAGCCCGCTTGTGCAGCCGCCTGGAGCATCGTAGCGATGTGCTGAGTAGCGTTATTTATTTGGCAGTTAGGGCTTTTAAGGTTTATTGTTTTCGGAAGTAAGTTGCTGTAGTAGGCCCTCCACTGCTCTGACAGCTGGTGCTGGTGGGCCGGGCTGCCGCTGAGCCACTGCATTCACTGCCTTTGACACCAGTGTGTATGTGTCTGCGCTGTCCTTGCAGATAAGATGCTCTTTCGGGTGTGCTTGAGATCTTTGTCGTCTGCAAATAGGTTGCTCAGAGCAGAAGATGTGATAGAACTGAATTTAAAGTCGTTTCCCATGCAGTATCTGATCTTTCTGCTTGCCAAATGGATTAGTAACTGATCAGTGTGATGATTTCTTTCTGAGATCTCAAAGATGACTTGCTATCAAAAACATGATTAAAATACCCAAAGAAAATCCTTGCTGTTCCCTCCCTTTCCAGCTCTGTCCCTTTTCTCAACTTTTAAGATACCACATCCAAGTGCGGTTTCATATCCTAGAATAAACTGTGCTGTGCAGGGCAGATAGCAGCTTATTCGCTGATCTTGATTTTTATTGTCTGCGGTAATGTTTTATGATGCTAAAAGGATTATATGTGGAATTACAGCTTCAAGTGATCGAGTTTAGATCCGGCTTGTAAAACTGCAAGTCCACCCCTAAGAGCAGACTTCAGGCTCTTGCCTGTGTTGTGTTTTCAGCTGTAACCATGGCTGGGGCAGGCAGAGCTTTCTGGCTGTCGGCACCCACCGGGCGCAGCACAGCGTGTTTCCAGTTACCACAAGAGCTGTTCAGTCTGGGTGTTGCTTCTGCTTCCTGTTGTTCCATGAAGGGATTTAAACCTGTCTTTAAAAGCCTGATACCCTCTCTTATCTAAGGCTTCACAGGCTTTGGAAGCAAGTGTTGTTCTAAGTGCTTCAGAAGTGACATGATGAATCTATAGCTAGAAAAATGCAGGTTGAGAGTACAAGGGGGAAATCTTCTTTTTCATACCATAAAAGAAATGTGTGAGTTTTCTTACTAGTCTTCTCTGTCAGTGATGTGCCATTCAGGAGGCTGCCTCAAAATGTTGCCAAAGGGTGGGAATTCCACATCCCTGTGGTCAGAAGTGGTCTGCCATAAGCAAACCCCTCTTTGATCTAGGGAGTGGCTTATAGGGCTCCATGTGAGCTACCAGATGATGCTTTGCTGATGATAACAATGGTAGCCAAGATCAGTGGATACCTTTTGAAGTGATAGCCTTCTGTTACTGATGTCATGCTAGAAAATCAGCTTTCCTGTTTTGATGGAAGCATAGGGAAGTTGGCAATAGCTGTAAAAAGTTGGTATCAAGCTTGTGCCCAGCACCACATTGCATTAAAAGCTTCTGCCTGCTTGGAACTGATCATTTAAAAGGCAACCCTTGAAATCATAGCATCATAGAAATAACCATCGAGCAGTGGTTTTGTCTGCACTGTGGCCCGTGGACAGTGATTCATAGAATCGTAGAATAGTTAGGGTTGGAAAGGACGTTAAGATCATCAAGTTCCAACCCCCTGCCATGGGCAGGGACACCTCACACTAAACCATAGTTCATTGTTCTGCTTTTATGGTATTTTTAGCGTGAGCCTGCGAGTTTGAGTGTGTGTGTCCTGAAGAGCCTCAGCTCTCCCCTTAGTTTGGTGTATCTGTGATTTGGATGTGTTAGCAGCAACTCTGTCAAAGAGCGCAGCACCGCTATGGCTTTATTTAATGGTTTGATTTGTTGCTGCTGTGAATGATGTGGTTACTTTTCCTGTGTGATAAGGGCAGATTTAATATCTCTGTTCAAATACTACCCGTGTGCCTTTACCATTAACTGCCCATTTTTGCCTCGTTTTAAAAGCCTTTTCCTTCAATCACTGCCAACTGATACAGAGGCTGCTCCGGGTGTATTTGGATAGCTCTGTTTCCAACACCCTTTCCTCGTGGTGATGGAAACTTAAGCTATGTTAATGCCACTTCAGCTGTGTTTGCAAAGTAATCCTGTTCAGCTTAATCGTTTGAATCTTACCCTTTAAAGTCTTGTAACGCACAAAGATCTTGTTTTCTCCATAACTTGACTTGATGGGAGAGGTTAATACGACCAAAGGCTCTGAAGTTATTGGCACCTCAGTAACCTGAGCACTTCTCTTCCATCACGCTGTTTGCCCTGATTTGCAGGTTATTTGAGTCGATGTTTTTTTTCAGAGCCCCACAGAGGCTTTTCCCGCTCGCTGTTTTGCTCAGGCAATAAATAAATCTGCTGACGTGTGTGTTCTGTGTTTGCTTGTTCTTGACCTTTGCTTTTTAGCCGTGCAAGGGACAGTTTCAGTGGTGACGTTGTGTAGCTGGGTGTTTAAGCACGGCCAAGTGTATTTCAGTTGTATTCCTGAAGCCTATGCCTGTTGCAGCTGATGTGTTGTTCAGGATAATGTAGGATGTGGGCAGTGGTTTCAGGGTTACTTATGAAGAAACCAGGACTCCCAGGGCTTTGTCATCGGAACAGATTTTGTCACTAAGCTGTTCTTTCCTCCTCTTTCCATATTATCGTCCCATGACAGACTTGTTGTATAGTGGGGAAATTCTGTTCTTTGTCATGAGTGTAATTGCTCAGACAACTGGATTTTGGTCTGGTTCTGACTTATGTTTTGACTACCACGTGCTGTGCTCCATGTTCAGAGCTGCCCTCAAGTCGTTTTCTGATGCTCCAGGGTGCTGCTGCAGCATCAAAAGGAGCGTGGCCATACAGCCTGCAGCTGTGTGGATACCTCTACCAGCTGCATTTAGCAGTTTCTCTAGGACAGTTGGACTCCAGCATCCCCTGATGTTAGCAGGTTATGCACTCCAGTAGGAATTAGCTGGCTAAATGCTTCTAAGGATGTTGCCTTTAGTCTTCTGAGAGGTTTTAATGCTAGACACTAATTCACTGTGTCAAACTGGTGCTTTCAGTGTGATTATCCTTACTTCAGATAATGGGGAAATTCAGATGAAAGCTAAGAAAGGAATTGCTCATGGCTGTGCAGTGAACCCAGCGATGGCTTTATTCTTGTGCCCCAAAGCATCGCCTTGGTAGTAGTGACCTGTTCTTCTGGGCTCTCCAGGTGTGGTTATAGTCATCCCGGCTGCTATCAGCTTGTTCTTCTCTTCCTGAATCTAAGCTGAAGGAAGGAAACATGGTTTGCATAACCTTAGTGTTTAAGGTTTAAACTGTGGCAGCCTGTGCAGGACACTGCAGGTCTCTGAATGGCAATTCCAGCACTTTGTGCTAAGTACTTGTTCCCCATTACAAGGCAAACAGGTTTTGTGTAGACAGTAGGGATTTATTTGGTATTGGACTTCTGGGGTTCTACTTCCCAAAGCTTCTTCACCTCTTATTATCTCTGCTTCGACCCCCAGCAGCTCCCAAGGGTGGCTCTGCAATGACATCCTCCTGTTGCCCTCTCAAAAGTGCCACCTTCTCCTAGTTGGAAAGCATATGTGAAGATCCCATCTGAAATCTTCAGTGGCCCATCACACATCTCCACCAGCCTGTACTGAAGATAGAATTGTTTTGCCTTTTGCAAAGATTTCAGTCCACGGAAGTCTTTCCAGGGGGACGAAAAGGTCTTTGCTGTTGAATCACAACATCTGGGTTCTGTCTTCCATTTCTGCACTAAGATTTTTAGTGCATTGTGGGGTCACTTGACTGGTCCGTGATACAGTTCACCAAAACAAAATTGGGGTTTGTTTTTAGTACAGGACTTTGAGTTACTTTTGTTTCCTATAAATAACTTGTAATATTTAATGGGCTGTTCTAACAAATCTTAATGCATTGTATTTTCTATTTCAAACTATAGGATTCAGCGATGTCCTTCATATTTAATTGGATTTACAGCGGTTTCAGTAGTGTATTACAGTTTTTAGGTAAGTTTTCCTTGTTTGGTTTATTTGGTCTGATTTATTTCTGCTGTTCTTGTCTAAAATGGCTGTTCCCCTCTGTTATCTTCAAACACAGCCGCTGGTTAAATAATATTTGGTTTGGTGTCTATTCAGTAACATTCAAACAGAAGCTTCACTTATCAATACTGAGTATTTCCAGAGCATGCAGTCTGCTCAGTCTTACATTAATCCTTCAACCTTGTGAGAAACCTACATTTTCTTCTATGAACATAACAGGTTTAGTTTTTCTAGTCATACTACATTTGAGCTGGTGCAATTCAGGTGATTCATAGGGAGTTTCTCCTGATTTTCCTCTGTTATAAAGACCTGAACTGGGTTATTTTAATTCAGTTCTTTTGCATGTGAGGATATCACTTCAGAATCCAAGTACGAGGGGCTGCCTAAAAAAAAAAAGTGCTGGGTATTGAAGCCCTTGCTCATATTCAGCAGTGCGTTATTCTGTGACTGGTGTCACTGAAATCTGTGTAAGCCTTCACTGTCACCTGCTGAAGAGCCTCAGGAAA